ATAGGAACAGACATCTTGGAGACAACAGGACTAACACCAGATAACAAACAAACAATTCATTAATAAATATAAAACCTCCTGATAAGATTGTGAATCTGGAGTACCCAGCCAGTGGGGAAACAGGGGAGAGGGGGGAGGCAAAGGGGAGAAGACAGGGTATAAAGACGGTCATCTTGTGTCCATAGGCGCGCTCCTGCTTGCGGGACGCCCGCCATTGCAATCGCGAATAAAATCTGCTTTATCAGAGATACCGTCCTGACAAAAATTATTTGGATGTTTCCAACAATTTGGGGGCTCGTCCGGGATTATTATCGCCTCTTTGGAGGTCTTCCTACTGCCCTGGACAGGATAGGTGCACCCCGCTGATTTCAGCGGTCCTGTCTGGGTAGTGAGGTGACTCCTTGGGATGGCCGATAAGAAACCGAGACTGTTACATAAAGGACGGGCTCTGTGAAAGCCACGGGGCAGGTGGGCACGGGTATTGACCCCTGGAGAGCCGGTAACTTCGTGCACGGACCAAGGTAAGGGAGTTTGATTCTTACCTTGGGGGTCGGTGGAGACTCGAGTGAGTGTGTGTGACTGAGACGCACTTTTAGTGCGAAGCGAGTGCTGAGTCCCGATTTGCGGTTCTGTTGTCCCGCGAGGGGCACGGCCAGAGACGGACGAAGCGGCTGTGTTGGTAAAAGGAAGAGTTTCGGGAGAGAGCTGTTGGTGTGCGGTACCCTGGACACTTGACGAAATGCCAGCAGTACACCCCTATTAATCCGAGAATCGGAGCGAGGTGCTCCGGAGGGATTGGCCCTAAATCCGAGAATCGGAGTGTGGTAACCTGTGGGCTGGGTAGTTCACAGTAGCATTCCGGAGGGATGGGGAATAGGAGCTCCCAAGGACAGGGGAAAAAGGTTTCCAAAGTCGTGCCTAAAGATAGCCCCTTGGGAAAAATGTTTCAGAATTGGAAAAATGATCCCAAGACCAGGTGCAAGGATAAGAAAAAAAATGCTTAAATATTGTATACAAACATGGCCTAGAGAGCCAATACAGGGAAAATCAATATTCTGGCCAGAATATGGATCTGACGAAGATTTGGTGTGTCAGATTCTGAATTCATATGTAAAGAATAAAACCCCCTTTTCAAAGGAGGAATCAGACTACGCTGCTTGTTGGATTCAAGAAGCCAGTCTGTTACTAGTAAGGAAAGGTCCGGACCAGGGGGGGAGGAACTAGAAAAGAGAACTAATCAATGGGATCCTTTAAAGAATCTACCTCCCCCATATAACCCCAATGTAGCACCAGGGGCAATAGTTGTAGGCTCAGAAGGAGAAAATGGGGAAGCAAATGGGGTTACTCTACAGGAAGGAAGGCATGCTGGGCTCAGGAAAGAATTAGAACAATGTAAAAGAGATACTGAAAATTTCCCCTTCCCTAAAACTAACCATACTAATGCTCTCATGTATCCTTTACGGGAGGTTCCACTGGGACAAGGGGAAATAGGCTATGTAAATCCCCCACTCACTAGCGGAGAAGTAAGGAATTTTAAGAAGGAAAAGAAATTCTTAACTGAGGATCCTATAGGAGTAGCAGAGCAATTAGATCAATTTCTGGAGCCAAATTTCTACTCATGGATGGAAATGATGTCTATTATTGGGTATGTTGTTTACTGGAGAGGAAAGAGGTATGATTAGGTGGGCAGCTATGCAAGTGTGGAAAATGAATACAGAGGGCAGGTTGGGCCCTGGAAGGAGGCAGAGAGAGGAAGGATCCTGAGGATAAATTGTACTGATTATTGTCATTGTCTTTGTGATTGTTAAATGTTTATGTTGTGAAAGTGTTGTGTTGTGCTGTGCTATGCTGTGCTGTGCTATGCTGTGCTATGCTATGCTATGTCATGTACGAGGCTGTTGTGGCACAAAGGGTGTCTAAAGTGATACCGGGAAGACCCCCTGGGTTGTATTTTTGCTCACTGGAGAAACACTGCTGGTGAGCCAGGGGGAATATTGAATAAGAAATCAGGAACATAAATGGAGTAATGGGACCAATTTTATAATTGAGTGCCCTAATCACAAGACCAAGTGCTGGGTGTTTGTGGAAGTTGAAGAACTGTATTGTTTGATTTGTGGATTTGGAAGGCAGTGGGAGAAACTGTCTTGATGATATATGGAAGTGCAATTGTTAATGGTGCAATTGGTAATGGTATATGGATATGCAATTGGTAATGGTATATGGATGTGCAATTGGTAATGGTATGGATGTGCAATTGGTAATGGTATATGGAAATGTAATTGAGGGTGTACAAATAGTGGAATTGTGGAAAAGCAAGCAAACAAACAAACAAACAAAAACAACGGCAAAAAGGTTAAGGAAAAACAGTGAGTTTGAGACATTAGAGTTTGGGTCGTTGAGAACACATCCCCCGCACTACTCCCCCCCACCGCGGCTTGTAAGAACACCTCGGAGTGAGAGAGAGAGCTGGGGGCCGGAGCCTCCCGCTGTAACTGCAGGGTGTGTGACTTGTGAATGGGAATGGGACGGGACATTGAAAGTGAGAATAGCCGTCATCTGCAGAGATCTCGGGAAACCCGACATCCCAGTGTAAGCACTGTAAGCCTGGGGAGGGGAGGGGGTGAAACAGAAATTACTAACATTATATTTCAGTAATGATGAAAGTATGAAAAGTGGAAAGGGTTTGGAAAACACAGGCTGAGGAAGGCAAAGTTGAGCAAGGTGTAACAGGGATGTCCTTACCTAGAAGAAGAGGTAAGGGGGAGCCTGGAAGGGCTCGGGGAGAGTTCCACCCCCGCTGGACGGAAAGCAGCTGGGGAAGCAGGGTAAAGGGTTTATTTTCTGATATGGGTGCCTCTTACTCTGTGCTACATCAAGAATTATTACCCGTAGATGATTTTTGTAATAGTTGTAGGAGCTCTGGCAAGAGAAGTTTACTTTTTGGGGACCAATTAAATACAAGTTAGGAGAACAAGTAGGAATATATAAACTCTTGTACATGCCAGGTTCTCCAAAACCGTTACTCGGGCATGATGTATTAGAACAGTTGAATGTAGAGATTAAATTCAGTAGAGAAAATTTTAAGTCTGGCTTTAACACAAACTGGGAAAAGCAGTGTTGTACCCCCAGAAGTTAGATATATCCTAAATCAGGTATACACAGGATTGCAGGCATCGGGAATGCCTGGCAGAGCCAAAAATTCAGCCCAATAAAAGTTAAGTTAAAGACGGGAGCCAGCCCAACAAGGGTAAAGCAGTGCCCTTTAAGGATACAAGACTGTAGGAGAATAAAAGAAACAATAAATAACTTTTCAAATTTTGGATTATTAATTGGATAGAAACCTAAATAGAACACCCTGATCTTGCAAATGAAAAATTGGATGGCAAGAACTATAGTTTGGTACAAGATTTGAGGGCAATTGTTAGAAATGTTGAATATATACAGCCCATGGTGTATATCTTTATTAACCAAGTTAAGGAATAAGTAGGTGGGGTTTACCGTTCTGGATTTGAAGTACACCTCTTTTTTTTTTTCTGCCTGGTTTTGCCAAAGAAAGTCTAAAATTATTTGCCTTTGAATAGGAAAACTCCAATAAGGGAAGAAGGAAAAAAAAAAAAAAATAATTAAAACAAAATAATAGTAAATAAATAAGAAAAAAAAAAAAAAACAAACTCAGCTAACCCGGACAGTGTTACGCAGGGTTGTGAGAACAGCCCAGTGATTTTTGAGAACTGGTCAACTTGTGAGCCTGAGATTTGGGTTCCTCCATCTCACAGTGGAACTCTACTGCAGTATATGGATACTACAGTAACAAAGGAGGACTGTGTACAGTGGACTGTGAGTTTGCTGAATTTCTTGATTTAAACGGCTATCAAGTTTCTCAACAGAAAGCACAACTGATCAAAGAGAAGGAAGCAGTTTGCTGAACACCCAGAACACCAACGCAGAGCTACCTCCAAGCCAGCAGTGTGCACTGCATGGAGACTGTTTATGCCAGTTGGTCAGACCTACAGGAGGAACCGTTGGACAACGCTGAGGATTCCTGGATTCACTGACAGAAGCAGCTTTGTGAGACAAGGAAACTGTAAGGCAGGACGTGCAGTAACTGCTACTGACAAGGTAAATGAAGCTAAACCATTACCTGTGGGGACTTCTGCTCAGAAGGCTGAAATAACTGCCTTGACAAGAACCTTAAATATATGGACAGATGCTAAATATGCTTTTGGGGTGGTACCCACTCATGGTACCATCTAGAAAGAGCGAGGTTTTCTTACACACATGGAAAACAAATTCACATGATGTAAATCTACCAAAGAGCAGCATGGCTGTTATACATTGTAAAGGACATCAGAAGAGTGACACTGTACAGGAAACTGGGAATATGATGGTGGATCAGGTGGCAAAACAGGCAGCTGAAGGAAAAGAAATTGGTGAACTGGCTTTAATTCCAGACGGTAAACTTAAAATATCTGAACCTTAATCAGAACCTATAAGATATTGTAGGGAGGATAGGAATTTGGTGATTTAAAAGGGAAGAGAGCAAGCTGACAGGTGAGTACATACCCAGATGGACACATTGTTGTGCCCTTTATTACTTTACAGAAATTGGTTCTAAGAGAACATAATAAAACATATGGGGGTACAGACATCAGAAAGTAACTGTACAGTCCTAGTACCAGGAACAGGGTACAAGTGGGGCTTGTTGGGGAAAGGGAATCTTTTAGGACAACAATTGCAAATTGATTTTTTTCAGAACTGCCAGGAAAAAGGAGGGTTTTTGTATATGCTAGTTCTAACAAATACCCTTTTCAGGGTGGCCAGAAGCATTCCCTTGCAGGACCAATCAAGCCAAAGAAATAACCACGGTATTGCTGCAGGAGATTATACCAAGGTTTGGGGGTCCTGCAGCAATACCCTTCAACAAGGGAACTCACTTTATTGCAGAGATTGTCCAACAGATCAGTAAGCATTGGGAATAAATTGGCAATTGCACATATCACACAGACCACAGGCGAGTGGTCAAGTGAAAAAGATGAACTATCTAATTAAATCACAGGTTGTAAAACTGGGCCAGGAAGCTGGACTATCCTAGCCAAAGTTGTTGCCTTTGGCTCTCCTTAGGAGCAGAATGAAACCTAGAGCCAAAGTGGGGTTAAGTCTTTCAAAATATTGTACAAAAGGCCTTATGTTGTAGAAACAGGACCTCTACCCAGGTAGGGATGAAATACTGAGCATGTGATAAGTTTACAAGAACAGCTTCAGGAAATAGAGAAACTGGTTCTAGGAACTAGAGCCCAAGACCTTGACGGCTTGATACATAATATTTTAACATGAGATTATATGTATATAGCAGATGTCTTTCACATTCACCCCTGGAATCAAGGTGGATAAGTCTGTTCCAGGTGCTGCTAACATCCCGCACAGCAGTAAAAATTAAAGAATAAGCATTGTGTATACATCATACTAGAGTTAAGAAGGTCCGTCAAATACAATGGGAACTGAAGTCAGCTGGACCCTTAAAATTGTGAATCCAAAGACAGTAATATGGGCTCTTATAATTGTTAGAAATGTTAATTTGATTAAGTGCAGCATTTGATATAAATGCTTTTATATCTCTTGTGAAAAACATCATTGCAAAGTATACTTATATCAGTAATTGTTTGGTATGTGGGCAAGCTAAGGATTAAACTTTTCACTTTTTGTTGTCCCTGATGATTTTAAGGCGAGAAATCAAATTGTTGCAGGGTTTGAGTCACTGTCCTGATGGGTGATGATCAACAAGAATGTAGATTGGATTAACTACATTTGTTATAACCAGTGGAGATTTACAAATTATACAAAAGAGTGCAATAAAGGGAATTGCAGAACAGTTAAATGCCATAAGTAGGATGGCCTGGGAAAATAAGATCTCCTAAGATATGATACAAGCTGGAAAAAAAAAGGGGGGGGGGGTGTATGTGTAATGCTGGGTACCTGTTGTTGCACCTTCAACCCAATAACACAGCTCCAGGTGACACAATAACTAAGGCATTGCAAGGGCTTACCACCCTTACCAATGAACTGGCAGAAAAATCAGGAATAGATACTTCTATCACTGGATGGTTGGAGTCCCGGTTTGGTGAATGGAAAGGGGTGATTGTACCCACGTTTACTTCCTTCATAGTAGTAGCAGGAGGCCTGATAGCCATTGGTTGCTGGGTTATTCCGTGTGTGAGGGGACTGGTACAGTGATTGATCAAGACAGCACTACTGAAGCAAACACCAATGGAGTCACAACATTTGGATAAAATGATGGTATTAGAGGAGATGGGAGATAAAGAAAGTGGAGAAGAGGGAGATGTCTATAAAAGGGAAACTTAAAAAAAAAATTGCAGAAATCAACAGTGTATAAAAAAAGAAAAGGGGGGGAATTGTGGGAATCAAATGTTGTTTCTGCATTAGAATTGGATAATATTTTTTTATTTCATGAACTCCGTTGTCATAGTTCTCTAGAACTATGTCCTCTAGACAAACCTTCCCAGGAATGCACGCTCTGTATATAGGTGTATATATGTATATTTTGTCACACACATTGCAAGAAGATCCTGCAGGAGATCAAACCAGAGAACAAGTCATGGTATGCCAAGGAAGCGCCAGATAACAAACAAACAATTCATTAATAAATGTAAAACCTCCTGATAAGATTGTGAATCTGGAGTACCCAGCCAGTGGGGAAACAGGGGAGAGGGGGGAGGCAAAGGGGAGAAGACAGGGTATAAAGATGGTCATCTTGTGTCCATAGGTGCGCTCCTGCTTGCGGGACACCCGCCATTGCAATCGCGAATAAAATCTGCTTTATCAGAGATACCGTCCTGACAAAAATTATTTGGATGTTTCCAACATGATAGAGATAGCAAACATAATTTTTAATGTGTTATCTATCTGATAGCCTTTCTAGAATTGTTGCTGTTTGCTGGATCAAGTTCTCAAAGCATATGAAGAGACAAACTACTGTGTATTTCTGTCACAGGTGTAGATTAAAATGTGAAAGCCATCACAGGAAGATAATACCTAGGTAGCTCTACAACTCTGGGACATTGTTGGCGAGGAATGGTGAGACACAATCTAAAGTTTTATTTCCTTGAATTATCTGTTTAAAGATCAGTATGCATGTACCTAATACTGCTTTTGATGAGAGGATCAAATATAGGAATATTCCTAAGAAAGCCAGTGAATTAACCATTTAGATTCTGGCATCAGTGATGTGCTGATTTGGTGCTGAGTGATAACTCAGCTGAAAACTGAAATATTGCCAAGAGATTCATAGCAGAACTCTTAGAAATTTAGTATCATACAACCATTATATGGTTTTCTTATACTGAAAGCAAGGGTTACTGTGATGAGTTTTCTACAGGAAACTTGGAAGCAGAAATCTAGCTAACTTTAGGCAGAGCACTCGGTGAGGTGGAAATTGTTATTCCATTCTTAAAGTGAAAGTGAATAAGAAAAAGTTAGATGTGCAGCTGATTATTCAGATGACTACAGAATGAAGTAGAAAGTACTTTTCCAAACACTTCTTCTCCAAAGTATTTTTTGCAAATAACTGCCTTACTTACTGTTGCAGTCATTTGTAGTAGTCTCCATGAATCTTCTGAATATGAAAAGGAGGCTGATTATTCAGAAAGAATGCTAACTACAATTCATGAAATACATCAATTTTCAAGCAGGATCTGCAGTGAAGAACAGTATCACACTTTTCCAGTTTACGGAATTTTGTAATTAATATGTAAACAAAATTGATGGGGTTTAACCTTTATTAAGAGCAGATGATTAGAAGAAACTGTATGCCAGCATCCTTTTGGTGTAGCTGGGAGTGGATTACTACAAAAGTTTTTGTCACATTGCTATTACTTCTGAAAAGATCTATAAACAAATTCATACTTGTGGGTACTGAAGTATTACTAAGCAGTTTTTCAGAGAAGCTGATGGTGTCATTGTGATCTATGATACAATAGCAGAAGACACATTCACTTCTGTCAAGCAGTATCTGATAAGCATTGAGGTAACGTGACATAACTTTAAGACTAAACTGTATTGTACTATTTTCTGACTTCCTTGAGATAGGAAAGGTTAGTAGGACATAACATAGAAAACAGCCTGTTTCTTGTGCTGTAACAATTACATTTTTGTTAGCAATTTTTTATCAATAAGTTATCAGAAAAGCTGTTTTCAGAAACCGTATGTGAAAATAATTACAGTTTTTAAGGTTTTAAAATGAGGTTGGGGGAACTCGACTCCTTCGCTTTCTTACAAAGCTGACTACTCCCACTGGATCACCACTAACACTGGGAGGTTCTTTGGCTCAGTGAAGACAGTCGTGAATAGTTTGATGGAAAAAAGACTATAAACTTATATACATTCAGTTCTATAAAAGCTGTTCATGGTAGTTTTTTTTCCTGGGGATCATTCTTTGACCGAAATGAATAAATGTCATATTCCATACAACAGAGTGCCTTCTGTTAGTTCTCTTTCTTTTTGATCAGTGTATGTTTGTGTCTCATGGACAACATAATGAGAGTGTGAGAGGCTGAATTTGCTTGTGGCCACTGGAGAAAGTAAAAATAAAGCTGGGGCTGCTGCTATTAAGGACTGAGTCACTAGAGAGAATAAAATGTGGCTATTTGTTCACTATTTCAGGGTATTGCTACTGAAAAAATAGGGAACAAATTGGTTTGCCAAGATCATTTAGACCTATTTTATTGTGTGTTCTAGCATAATAAACTGTTTTCTGTAATGGCCAGTGGGTGTTTTTACAAGCTGAAATTAAGCAATTGCTTAAGCAGTTGTATTTGACTAGCTATACTGAAGAAAGAGTAATAAAATGCATTTTGTAAGAAAGAGGCATAATTCTGTAGATGATCTTAACAAATCAATGGTTATTGTAATTCAGTATGATAAAAGCTAGAGAAGAATTCCGTTTTTGATTTTTTTAAAAAATCAAATTTTGCAGCCAAAAACTTAGTGTTTTTCAAAACTTACTATAAAACTGACCAATTTTGTTTAGCACAAGCTAGAGCAAAGTTGAAGACATTAGCTAATTCCACTTTCTGCTGTAGTATTCGGACCACTTTATGAATATATTCATTACAATTATTCTAACTATTTTCAGGAGTTTTGATTTGTGCCTATTCCACATATTTTTGTGCCTCTTCTGTATATCTCTCCACTACGTTATGTAATTTATTTTTGGACAGTAGTGCCCAGATTTTGTCATTAGCTTCCTTTTTGTGTAATTAGAAAAGCAGTGGCTATTAAGAAACGATGTCAAAACCTGTATAGCATGGTAGTTTTCTCTGTATCATTGATAGAGTCTAATAGGATTCTGTCATGGGCTATTATTAAGAAATACAAAATTGCAGTCTGTCTAGTTAATGACTTTTATCCAACTTTAATTCTTTATGTACTTGTTAAGTACAGCAGCACATACTTCGTTGATGTATGATGTCTTGAATTTCTTACTGTATTGTGACATATGTCTGTTCTTATCTTCTTGATCTGCATTTTTTTAAAGAAAACACTTCATTTGGTATTTATTCTTCAGTCTACAGGAGACAACTGGTGAGATTATACCTGTGCTTTTGTTGGGTAATAAAATTGATAGTGAAAAGGAACTTGAGGTCCCTAATGGAATGGGAGAGCATCTTACAAAGGTAAGTGTACTAAGTGGAATGCCTTTACAAAATCTGAAGATTAAGGCTTTTAAATGGAGTCTGAATGTACCTAAATTCACAGAAACACAGGTTGCTTTCAACCAGAAAACTGTTTTTAAGGATGAGGAACTCCATTATACTTATCAATTGAGCTCTCAGTAATGTAACAGTGTAACAGCTGATAATTATCTTAGTTGTAAATTCAGCAAGATGAAAAAACAAAAGATGAGAGGTGCTGAAGATATTTAAGAATTCATTCTCTCTTCTCCCCTTCTCCTTTGTACTCTCTCTTCTCTATTTCTCCCCTTTTTTCTCTCTTTTTCTTTTTTTTTTCTTTTTTTTTTTTTTTTTTTTCTCTTTACTTCTAGATGGATTCCCAACAGAAAGATAATCTGGGGATCTTTTCTCCCTCCTACCTCCTGTAAGTATAGTAGACCATCTGTTACTCCTGTGTATAGTATGAGTAGAAGATATGTTTAATTTTAGTTTCTTTCCATCAAGTAGAGCAAAAAAATGAATAGAGTTAACAGTTTGCATCTAGTAGAGCACTAGTTATCCATGGGCTATATTTTAAGCATTATGGGAATGTGAATTGAAAAATGTCTGTTTATATTCCTGTATACCATGTCCATCAGTTTTTCTTTGGAATAACTCTATACAATGCATGTAATTTGAATATCAATACCTCCAGAATAGTCATTTTAGAAATTAGTCTGCCCAATATTTGTAAGAAAATTGAGATGGTAGGGATATATTAATCTACTGGATTTCTTGTATGTACTTGTTTCTTCTTTGAAAATAGATTTACAATTCTGCTTGTTGACAGTCAGAAAGGTTACTTAAAATGTAGTTGAACTGTTCTTGTTCTATACAAAGAATTGCTGCTAGCCATTTATGTATAACTGACAGATTTAGGGTCAGATCCTTTTTTAATCCATTTTGATTGTTCATGCAGCCTCTTTAGTTTGTGTGCATTATTTTAATTTTAGAGGGAACTAAAATCTTCCTTGAACTTAATTCCTGAAAGATTCTTCCTCTGGGAGATGTTTTATTTTCTTATCAACATAGAAATGCTAATACTTTTGGGACCTTAGAAGCTGGGAGGGACATCAGAGTGTAACACTGAATCTTTCTGTGGAAAAAAAACCAAACAAGTAGCATGTAAGTGCTAAATGGACAGAATAGGTATCTCATACACAATTTACGTCTCTTAAAATACTGCACTAATGAAAGAAAGATGAATCATTTTACAGAACTTACAGCACACCAGGCCATTAATTGTAACATGTTATGCAAGAAAATGTTTCATAAAATATTTGTCAAATGAAAGATGGTTATAATCAAATGACTAGATCTGAATGACTCATTTATGTTTGAAGGTGCTGCTTAAAGGAGCTAAGGCAAGCATGTGCAATCTGTGGGCTGCATGACGCCCAGCATGGCAGGCAATGTGGCCCATCCTATGCGGCTCCCAGGACTATAAAGGCGGTGGCTCTTCCTGCAGAGCAGCCCTGGCCACCTGTCCATTGCTCAGCAACAGCCAAGCAGTCAGTGCACTATTAATGCTGTGTTGACTGAAAGCAGAGCGTGGGGGGCAGTGCTGTGCAGTGCTGACTGGTGTGATGGCAATGATACATTTTGATACACAGGCTGAACATGGGGCTCTGAAAAAGAAAGAATACACAGCTGTGCTTTTTGTTTTGATAAAGAAATTTGAAAATAGAATCATGGAATTGTTTGAGTTGGAAGGAACCTTTGAAGGTCATCTAGTCCAACTCCCTTGCAATGAACAGAGACATGCACAGCTAGAACAGGTTGCCTGGAGCCTGATCCAGCCTTTCCTTGAAAGTCTCCAAGGACAGGGCATCACACCATGTCAACGGTTTACGGACAGCTTCAGCCCAGTTCTGTGGCTAGCGGGCGGAGGGATTTTGCAAAATCCATGCCTCTGGAAAAGGGAACAGGGGACGCCAAAATAATTAAAAACAGCAGCAATGATCTGAGGAGAAACAAACTAATTTACTAAATACATTATCGGAATGCAAGATAACACACTATAATACAATATAATTAGAATTGAAGCTAATAAATCAAATATAATGAGAGAGAAAATGTCCGAAAGGTGGATAGGCCTCACCACAACTCTGAGGTGAGATGCGCAGTCCAGTTGAGCAGCAGGGAGACAGAGGGAGAGCCAACGAAAAAGAGCGGATGAAGAGCGCATCAGGTGACCTTGCCAGGAGTTATATTTCCTCTCTGTGACCACAGAGTCCCCTGGGGAACACAGTTCTTCTTCTTTTCCGGGCAGGTACCCAGAACTTGAGCATTAACAGTTAAACTCCCAGTGCCCCACATGATGTTATGATGTGGAATACCGAAAACCAAAAATCACAAAACCATGGCATTCCACCCCTTATTCTACATCACTGGATCATGCTTAATATATACAAACAAAATATAATTACCAAACATTAAACACTTACACACACAACCCTATATATACACATGGAATTACTGACTGCACTCCCCCAGCAACAAATTCCCTTGTGGTATACATTGAACATCCCCATTTTTCTGAATCACCCACCAAGTGGACCCAGTTCCCTGGGCAAAAACAGTTCCATGAAGAGGATTGCCCTTCCCAGAAGCTGGAAAGACCCAAACCGCTTTTCCAAACACGTTCTTTACATGTACTACAGGGACCTTATCTCCCTTGACAGTATGTAGGGAGCTAGCAGGGCCATCATGATTGATAGATCCTCTAGTATTGACCAGCCAGGTGGCTTCTGCCCAATGCTTCTCCCAGTGCTTAAATGTTCTGCCACTTATTGCTTTTAACATAGTTTTTAACAACCCATTGTAGCATTCAATTTTACCAGAAGCTGGTGCATGATAGGGGATATGATAAATCCGCTCAATGCCATGATCTTTGGCCCAAGTATTTACAAGAGAATTGTTGAAATGAGTCCCATTATCTGATTCAATTCTTTCTGGGGTGCCATGTCGCCACAGGACTTGTTTCTCGAGACCCAATATGGTGTTTCGGGTGGTAGCATGGGGTACTGCATATGTTTCAAGCCACCCAGTGGTTTCCTCTACCATAGTAAGCACGTAATGCTTACCACTGCAAGATCGTGGCAAGGTGATATAATCTACCTGCCATGCTTCCCCATATTTATACTTTTGCCATCGCCCTTCCCCCAAAACAGGTTTCATCCTCCTGGCTTGTTTGTGGCGCATGTGTCATAGTCATGAATAACCTGTGCAATAGCATCCACAGTTAAGTCCACCCCTCGGTCTCTAGCCCATTTGTATGTTGCATCTCTTCCTTGGTGACCGGAGGTCTCATGGGCCCACTGACCTAGAAATAATTCACCCTTGTTCTGCCAGTCCAGGTCTACTTGAGCCACCTCAATTTTGGCAGCTCGATCTACCTGATGGTTATTTTGCTGTTCTTCAGTAACCAGACTCTTGGGCACATGAGCATCTACATGGCGCACCTTTACAACCATATTCTTTATTCAGGCAGCAATATCTTTCCACAGTTTAGCAGCCCAAATAGGTTTACCCCTTCTTTGCCAGTTATTTTGCTCCCACTGCTGTAACCACCCCCATAGAGCATTTGCTACCATCCATGAGTCAGTGTAAAGATAAAGCATTGGCCACCTCTCCCGTTCAGCAACATCTAAGGCCAGTTGGACAGCCTTTACCTCTGCAAACTGGCTTGATTCCCCTTTCCCTTCAGTGGCCACTGCAACTTGTCGTGTGGGGTTCCACACAGCAGCTTTCCATCTGCCATGGTTCCCCACAATACGACACAATCCATCAGTGAACAGGGCATACGTCTTTTCATTTTCTGGTAGTTCATTGTATGGTGGGGCCTCTTTAGCACGTGACACCTCTTCTGCTGTCAATATTCCAAACTTTTGCCTTCAGGCCAGTCCATGATCACTTCTAGGAACCCAGGATGGCTGAGGTTCCCCATCCGTGCACACTGCGTAATCAACGCCATCCACTTACTCTAAGTGGCATCAGTAGCATGATGGGTGGAGGGAACCTTTCCCTTGAACATCCAGTTCAGCACTGGCAGTCGAGGTGCCAAAAGGAGCTGTGTTTCAGTACCGACTACTTCGGAAGCAGCCTGAACCCCCTCATACGCAGCTAAGATCTCCTTTTCAGTTGGAATGTAGCACTCTTCCGACCCCCTGTATGCTTGACTACAGAATCCCATGGGTCAGCCTTGGGTCTCTCCTGAGGCTCTTTGCCACAAACTTCAAGTGGAACCTTTCTCTCCAGCAGCAGTGTAGAGGATGTTCTTTACATCCTGTCCCATCCATACTGGCCCCAGGGCCACAGCATGGGCTATCTCTTGCTTAATCTGCTCAAAAGCCTGCTGCTGCTCAGGACCCCATGCAAAATCATTCTTCTTCCATGTCACCTGATAAAGGAGGCTTACAATGAGGCTGTAGTTTGGAACAAGCATTCTCTAAAAACCCACTACGCTCCGAAATGATTGTGCCTCTTTCTTATTAGTGGGTGGAGACATGGCAGTGATTTTGTTGATCACATCTGTTGGACGTCCATCTTGCCATTTTATACCTAGGAACTGAATTTCCTGGGCAGGTTCTTTCACTTTGCTTCGCTTAATAGCAAAACCAGCACGCAGAAGGATCGGGATTATTTGTTCTCCTTTCTCAAAAACTTCCTTTGCTGTGTTGCCCCACACAGTGATGTCATCAATGTACTGTAAGTGCTCAGGAGCACTACCCTGTTCCAGTGCAGCTTGGATCAACCCATGGCAAATGGTTGGGCTATGTTTCCACTCCTGGGGCAAATGATTCCAGGTATACTGAGTGCCCCTCCAGGTGAAAGCAAACTGTGGCCTAGATTCTTTGGCCAAAGGAATGGAGAAAAAGGCATTAGCAATGTCAGTGGTGGCATACCATTTGGCTGCTTTTGACTCCAATTCATACTGGATGCTTTTGACTCCAATTCACACTCAATGGAGGTGTGACTTCATCCAGGCCATGGTAGTCCACCATCAGCCTCCATTCTCCACTGGCTTTACGCACTGGGGCTGTTAAAAGGTGAGTGAGTTTTACTGATCACTCCCTGACTCTCTAGTTGACAAATCAACTTATGAATGGGGAGCAAGGAATCCCTGTTGGTGCAGTACTGCAGTCTGTGCACCGTTTTTGTAGCAATCGGTACCTGTTGCTCTTTTACTCATAGCAACCCCACAACAGGTGGATCTTCTGATAGGCCAGGCAAAACAGACAACTGCTTAACAACTTCTGTATCTACAGCAGCTATTCCAAAGACCCATCGATACCCTCTGGGATCCTTAAAGTATCCCCTTCTGAGGTAATCAATACCAAGTATACATGGAGCCCCTGGGCCAGTCACAATAGGATGCTTTTGCCAGTCTTTACCAGTGAGGCTGATTTCGGCCTCCAGCATAGTCAGCCCCGTCACCCCATGAATATAAATCAATTTTGTCCCTTGGTGACTCGAGGGCATTAGAGTGCACTGAGCACCAGTGTCCACCAGGGCCTTATATTTCTGTGGTTCTGATGTGCCAGGCCATCTAATCCACACAATCCAATATACTCTACTATCCCTTTCCCCCTCTGGCTGGGGGCAGGGCCCCTCTATTTGTTACCTCCATTGTCTGCAGCAACTGGAGCAATTATCTTTTTGGAGAAGTTCACCTTGGTAGTTGATCTGTCTTGTAATTCTTTTACCCATGCTTGAAGTGCAGGAGTAGGTTGTTTATGCCACTTCTTCATATCTTCTCCATGGTCACATAGGTAATGCCACAAGGCAAAACGCAACGTAGTCTTACTGTTGTCACTTGCTTGAGCAGGAGGACATCTTCTTTTGATAGCTGAGACGTTGGATGACACCGGCTGGGAGGAAAGCAAGTTGATCAGCCCCTCCAGAAGGCTGTTCTGGGAATTCTAATCCCCATTGGATGTATCTGTTACCACCATGAATCCATCAGCATTAGGCATGGTTGACAGTTTGTCTATTATATCTTCTTGTTTGCTTTCCATTCTGTTTAGCTTTTCAGCTATTTTTGCAATGGCTGAAACACAAGCTCGTAGAGGGCTTAAATGTAACTCAAAGTCTTGAAGTTTGTTAATCAGTTCACTTATAAGGGGTCTTCTTTCCCCTCTGCCATAATTTGTTGCAAATGTACTAACGTACCTTTCTGGTGCAGTCTTTGAATATATGCCACATGTTTGGTTTACACCTGACTCTCTCAGGATCATGCTCTTGGTCTGGCTCATCAGGAATGAAATCGGGGTTATGTAGCATTTCCACCACAGCATATTCTCTCAAGTAATGGATGCCTTTTTCTATGTCAGTCTGTTTCTTTTTTCAGGCATCAGATCATCTTTGAAGGAGTATCTTTCTTTTACAGCTAACAACATCCTCTTCCAGAGAGTGAAGGCCTGGTTCTGGCATGTACTAATGCCTCTGTCAATGGCTGAGTCCCTAGCAATGCCACCCAGTTGGCGAGCTTCTCTACTATCTAGCCACACACTGTTGGCCCCATTGTCCCAACTTTGAAATAACCAGGTGACAGTAGGCTCATTTGGGTGACATGAGAAGTCTTTTCTCAGACTTCGAATTTCATTCATTTTCAGAGATTGATCAACAATAGTAACAATATCTTGCTCACCTCTTACTCTTTCAGGACTTCTTGTTGCCCTCATAGGCACTGGTGACCGTGGTCTTACTGAGAGTCCCTCCCCTGGACTCAGGGGCGCTTCCCCTGGATCTCGGAGCCACTCCTCTGGACCTCTTTGCTCCTCTTTCTTCTCTTCTAACGGAGTTGAGATTCGTTTCATTTTCCGTCCTCTTACAGGAGCAACTGACATCAATTGTGGTGCCTCCTGTGGTTGATCAGGTTGGTCAGTTCCAATGCTTTCACCCTCTAGCTCAGCTTGGAGTCTGCCTTGTTCAATCATGAGAGTATTTAGTTCAGACTGGAGGGTGTCTCGCTCAGTTTGGAGGATATCATGTTCAGATTGGAGGGTGTCAAGTTTGGATTGCAGTGAGTCTCTCTTGATTCGGAGGGCATCTCATTGAGATTGGAGATTTCTTCTCTTAGATTTTCCCCTTCAGCTTGGAGACTTTCTTTCTCAGCTCGGAGACACTCTTGCCAGGTTTTGAGATTCTCTCTCCTGGCTAGGAGGCTCTCTTTCTCAACCTGGAGATTCTCTGTCTCGCCTTGGAGACTCTCTCTTTGGGATTGCAGGAAGTCTCTCTCGATTCAGAGGGCATCTCTCTCAGATTAGAGGTCTTTTCTCTCGACCAGGAGACTCTCTCGCTAAGCCTGGAGATTCTCCCTCTCTGCTTGGAGTCTCTCCTGGAAACTCTCCTTTTCAGCTTGGAGACTCTCTCGCTCAGTTTGTACTATCTCACTGAGACTCTCCCTTTCAGCTCTCAGACACTCTCTCTCAATTTCACAAACTCTCTCCCTCTCTGGGATACTACTGAATAAGACCCGATAAGCATTAGCCAGGTTCCAAATCATTTGTGCCTTCTCAGATCTGCCTGAGCTGCAACGTTCCTGTCTCAACTATGTGTTTAAGCTCTCAGGGTCTTTCAGGTGTTCAGGAGTGAACTTCCATGACACCGAAGATGTCCATCTCTCTAAAGTCTCTCCCAAGCCTCTCCATACTCCGTGCCACTCAGTATTCTCTGGTTTTGGGGAAGGTTTCCTCAAAATATGACAAATACAAATAATGAGTGAAATGATGAACAGTATGTTTAGGGAGATAGACAACGTGATCAGGTGAGCATTCAAAAACTGCATAAAGGATTCAAAGGAGAGACTGGGAACCTGCTTAAAAATCCCAATTTCTGTAAAATCAGCAGCTCCCTCTGGAGTTGTATGCCACATTGTATGCAGATACCACGTACATATTTCCATCAGTGTTTTCAATCAATTGTATATACCTATAGCTCCATAGAGCAAAGTGGCAAACTTAATTAAGGCCCAGTATGTTTTGAGCATTAAAAAAGAAAAAACAATGGCATGCAGGCCCTTGAAAGGCAGTTTTAGAAGAGAAAGCATTTTTTCTCTTTACAGAAGCAAGATAGCAGTGCTCAAAGTTTACAAATATCCCAGAATACTGGCAGTCTGCCTGGACTTTCAAGGTCAAGTTTTCACTGAGAACCTGTGAAAAAGATAAACTTTCCCAACGAAACTCTCTGAGAGCAGAGAGAGATTCGTTCTAAAAAGCTAAAAAGCAGCTTTTGCCTGCATTCTCCACCAAGAATGTCAACGGTTTACGGGCTGGTTCGGCCTGGTTCCGTGACTAGCAGGACGGAGGGATCCGCAGATCCGTGCCTCCGGAAAAAAGGGAACAGGGGACCCCAAAATAATTAAAAACAGTGGCAATGATCTGAGGAGAAACAAACTAATTTACTAAATATATTATCGGAATGCAAGATAACACAGCATAATACAATATAATTAAATTTGAAGATAATAAATCAAATATAATGAGAGAGAGAATGTCTGAAAGGTGGATAGGCCTCACCACAACGCTGAGGTGAGATGCGCAGTCCAGTTGAGCAGCAGGGAGACAGGAGGAGAACCGACAAAAAGCTGGCGAAGAAGAGCACATCAGGTGACCTTGCCAGGAGTTATATCTCGAGACTCACTGTGATCGCAAGTCCCCTGGGGAACACAGTTCTTCTTCTTTTCCGAGCAGGTACCCAGAACTTGAGCATTAACAGTTAAACTCCCAGTGCCCCACATGATGTTATGATGTGGAATACCGAAAACCAAAAATCACAAAACCATGACAGTTATTTACTATGACCTCAGGCCAGGCCCTAGCCATCTCTCTGTACACCTTAAAAGCAATTATTTAATCAAAAAGATAGATGTGACTAATTCTACTTCTAGAAAGCTTTAGCCAGCCAGGTGGTCAGCAAGTAGAAGCAGGAATTGTCAGCCTCTGATATTCTTTGGTACTAACACATCCTCTGTCTTGTAGGATTGCTATTTTCAGATTCTGGCACTGACATCTGACACCGTCCTGCACTACATCTTTGTTGAAAAATTGGAGAAAAATGGATTTGATGAATGGACTGCTTTCTGGAGAAGGAATTGGCAGGATGGTCATACTCAGAAAGTTGAGGTCAGCAGCTCAATGTCCAAGGGGAGACGGTGACAAGTGGCATTCCTCAGGGATCGGTACTGAGACTGGTGCTATTTAACGTCTTTGTAGGTGATATGGGACTGAGTGCACCCTCAGCAAATTTGCATATTATGTTAAGCTGAGTGGTGCAGTTGACGCACCAGGGAAGGGATGTTATCCAGGGATGCTACCTGGACAACCTTGAGAGCTGGGCCCATATCAACCTCGTGAAGTTCAACAAGGCTTAGTGCAAGGTCCCTACAAGGACAGGCTGAGAGAGTTGGGGCTCTTCTCTCCAGGGAGACCTCATAGCAGCCTTCCAGTACCTGAAGGGGACCTACAGGAAAGCTGGACAGGGACTTTTTAAAAGTGCATGTAGCAACAGGAGAAAGGGAATTGGCTTTAAACTGGATGAGGGTAGATCTAGGCTAGATATTAGAACGAAATTCTTTACTGTGAGAGTAGTGAAACACTGGAGCAGATTGCCCATTGAAGTTGTGGATGCTCCAACCATGGAGGCATTCAAGGCCAAGCTGGATGGAGTTTTGAGTAACCTGGTCTAGTGGGAGGTATCCCTGCCTATAGCAGGGGGGTTGGAACTTGATGATCTTAAAGGTCCCTTCCCCAAACCATTCAGTGATACTATGACTTTCCACCATTACTTTTCTCAGATCCACCAAGAAGTTAATTCTGGCCTAAATGGAAGTGAATTTTTTCCTTTTTCTCTTTTCTTTCTTTAGTTTGCCCATAGCACCCCCAAATAAAGCTCTTTGGTAAAGATTAACCAAGGTTAACATGGTACAGATGTGCAGCATGAAACTGGACTCTGCGTCATGAAGGATTTTTTTGTGGTTTACACAGATTTTGGCATTGTACTGGAACAGAAACAAACCAAAAGGTAGTAGGCAGGGGGATCCAGAGCACAAGTGTATACCACCTATTTCTATTATGCCCTGAGAGCACATGAACCTTTTCATTTAGAAGTAACTAAAGTGCTGATACAGAAATTTTGAACACAAGAATCTACAATATTACAGAACATTTTAGCTACAGAATGCTCTTTCATCACATGTTATACTCTTCCTAATAGTGTTTGGACAGCTGATGTAATTTAAGTGACTGTAGCATCTTCTTTTGGGGATGTATACTACTTTGAAAATTTCTCATTCTGGTTAAGTGCCAATGAATGAGAAATTCTGTTGGATTTCTTCTTCTACCCAGACAAATTAATCTTTCAAGTTCACAAATATAACTCCCTGGCTTAGTAATGTTTCATCAGAGGCAATCTTATCTACAGTAAGTCTGTTTACAAGCAGTGCTCACCCATGCGAACCTTTTGAGAGGACAATCAGTTGGTAGGAGAAAGAAGAAATTAATCTTCTCAACCTTGTCAGGTACACTATATTAGCTGATCTTTGCATATCACACATGCTGCAAAGAAAATTTGCAGATATAGTAAAAAATTCCTAGGTCTTCAGAACAAGCATATGTTATAAGCTGTACGTTGCCATGGGTTGCAGTGGAAGAGATAATGAACTACTGTGTGCCAGTCAAAACTGCTTCAGGCCTACTCAGATTCAAATAAAGTAACAGTGGAAAAAACACTGCACATTATAGGTTTACTCAGAATTATACAGTGCCTTTACTCATAATTTATTTAAGCAGTAATCTGCAGCTGTTAAAGTGGGTGTACTCCACACAGAAATAATCTGTGAGGAAAAGGCCAAGCTGAAGGACGTCTGCTCCTGTAAGAACTACAGCCAGTGATTATCTCCACTGAAGCAGGGACTACAAAGGAACAATACAACTAGAATCCTTATCTGCAGGAAAATTGGAAACATTGTGCACCAAGTGGCAGATACCATAAAAGTTAAGATGCCTGAAGGCATTATGCATGCTGCCTCAGCCTCTGTGCTGTTTGTTCATTGGATGAAGCCTGACAGAGTGCAGCTCACACTGAAAAGAAGGAAAGCTAAATCTTGGGGGCAGGGGAGATGACAAAAGCACAACAGTTTGTTTAACTGCTGGTATTTTTTTTTCCCTCTGTACCAGAATCAGTGCTAAAAGATTTGTTTTTGTTGATAGTAACTCATGTAAAATTCCCCCCCTATATACACCTCTATATAGGCAGAATTTTTTGCTGTGTCAGATCATTATGAGATCTCTACTTCATCATCTAATCAAGTGGAAGCCTGTTTCAGAAAGCAGAGGCATTCCCATAAAATGTATCAGTAGCAACTGTCTGAATTCAATAACTGTTGAAGCAGTGGTCGTAATTCTTGTTATTTCAGTAAAAATAACAATAGCAAACACATCTTCTCTAGGAAAAATAAAAACAGAGAAAAATGGGTACTTTCACCTATTTACACCTCAATCAATTGTTAATATGAAACTGATAAAAAGATATTTGATTTTTGTATGATGAAAATAAACATCTCAAGATAAGAATATTTCATAGGTAAAGTTTTAAGGGCAGGAATAAAATTCACTGTTGTTAATTTAATATTAATTTAATATAGATAGACACAGACCAAATAACTTCATATATTCTACCTAGTGACACTTGTTCCTTCCAAATATAATAAAAGTTAAAGGTCATCTGATCAGTCAAATAAGCTTTGCTTCTTTCCTTTCAAGCACAAGAGGGGAGCTTCAAAGATGCTTACCTGTACTGAAAACCAGTGTTTAGCTTCTGCAGTTGTCAATCTCTTCCTGGTACTGACGTGTGGAATCAAACTCTGTAACCCAGAGTTAGGTTATAAAGCAGGTATGTTTTTATTCAGCATTTGGCACCAAGTCGGGTACAAGGGGGATAGTTCCTCTGAATTTGCACACGGGAGAGTGGGATCTCAATACATTTATAAGCCAAGCCCACACATATTCAGCAGTATTTCCCAAGACCTATTGACGTATTCATTACTTTTCCGGGAATTCATTTACATACTGTCCCTCCCCCTAGTGCATGCACAATAGTTTCCTCTGGTGGTCATTGGATGAAGGCTCGATGTCTTCCTCCCCACCTGGTGGTCGTCAGTAGTTTTCCTCGCCATGTCCTTCCAACCTTGGTCCCAGTTTTGAGCTCTTCTCCCACCCTGCGTGCTTCTTCAATCTCTTATCCTGTTTGTTCCCCTTTCCATTGTTCTCTCATTGGCCCCTTTCTGCTGACTTGAGAAGGCTTCCTTTTGAGAATGTGTTTGGGCTAGCAAAAGTTAAACTAAGAGATGCTATTTGTGAATTCCTTCTGAGTTAGCAAAACCAAGCGTTGTTATGGACCCCTTACATCTTGTATTCTTCAGCTTACTATCTGAGTGTGATGTTTTCTTCAAGTTTACAATAGAGTTTCAAGATGTTCTTTTCTTATCTGGCCTCACTTCCTACTTACCTGAATTTCTATACAATAGTTAACCCTCATCTTGTCCTCTCTTTACTCACATTCCTATACAATTGTTAACCCTTATCTACTGCACATCCTGCTCGCTACATTCTTTTGTCTTGGTTTCCTTTACAGCCAGCCCATGTTTGCCCTTCATCCCCTAACTCAGTACCTTTTCTACAATATGAACAGAACAATCATTAAATCATACAATTATTTAGGTTGGAAAAGATCCTCAGGATTGTTAACAATCAACATCACCTACTGAGTCCCATCACCAACCCTTAGTGCCCTGTTGTGAGAATCCTTCTTTGTTTTTTTGGCTCAAAGCTTGCTTTCTGAGGTATTTCTTGTGATAAGACTCTAGGAGATGAGAGATGAGTGTTGCTATGTGGCAATCAACATCACTGTGTGGACAATTTTACATTTGAAAGCATTTCTTTGGAGCTGTTTACCTTCAGAAGATAATGCACAGGACTGTTTACTGGCGGAAGATCTAGTCAGTGACCAAATAACTCCTGTTTGCTATGGGAAGCTGGGGGATGATGCCACTGTATTCTGTGAAGGCAAGATACAAGCTGGCACCTCCCTGTTCCCTCTTATCTGCTGACAAGGCCAGGAAGATAGGAACAAAGGAACTTCCACTGAGATTCCAAAACCAGAATCTGCCACTCCAAGGAGAGCTGACTCAACCACTTTGGATTTGAGCTGTCATTACAAAGAGAGCTGACTCAACCACTTTGGAACCACTGAAAAGGAGCCATCATCGCCATTGTCCTTAACAGAACTACACCCACCACTACTGAAGATCAATGACTGAACTATGAACCATGCTGGATCCATGGTGGTGACTATCTCCCTCTTGCTTCCTATAAATACTCCTTGCTCCTTCTTTCCTATCTTTTCTATCATCCTCCTTCCCTTCCCCATTACCCTAATTCATAATAGCGTTCGCCTTCCCCTTCCCCATCTCCCTGATTAAGATTTGTAATAAACTGGACTGACATTTGACCCGTTGTTTCTTAATCTCATGCCGGGTTCAGGGCGTGAAAAGAACCTCCTCTCCCTCCTATAAATTGGAGCGAGACACCTGTCCATAAATCCCTTGAATACTTCCAGGGATGGGCATTCCACCATTTTCATGGTCAGCTTGTCCAATACTTGACCAGCCTCTCCGTGAAGAAATTCTTTTTAATATCCTATTTAAACCTCTCCTGGTGCAATTTGAGATCATTTCCTTGCATCCTGACACTTGTCATCTGAGAAAAGAGACTGACACACTCCTTTTCTATTGGGAAACTTTCCAGATAATTTTCCCTGGAACTGCTTCATGGACCCACCACTTAGCCTGGTTGAACATGCGACTGGACTTGGCCAATCAGTCTTGCATATCCAGATTGCTCTGCAATACCTTCCTACCCTCAAGCAGATCAACAGTCTTGCCTAACTTGGTATCATCTGCAAACTCATAGAAGATGCACCTGATAAAAATGTTAAACAGAAGTGGCCAGTCACCAACTGAATTGAACTCCATTCTCCATGACTCTTTGAATCTGGCTATCCAGCTGCTTCTTCACCCAGCTAATTGTACACCTATTCAAGATATGAGCAGCCAGTGTCTCCAGGAGAGTACTGTGAGAAACAATGGCAGATGCTTTACTAAAATCCAGGTAGACAACATCCATAGGCTTTCCCTCATCTCATCAGTCATTTTGTTGTAGAAGGAAATAAGGTTAGTAGGGCAGCAACTGCCTTTGATAAGCCCCGATGGCTGCATTTGATCACTTGATTGTCCTGTCTGTTCTATGTGATGACATTCAGAATGATCTGTTCCATAATCTGTTCACTAGTACCAAGGTACTTAGAACTGTAGTTCTCTGGATCCTTCTTCCTGCCCTTCTTATAGACTGGCATCACGTTTGCTAACCTCCAGTCAACTAGGTCCTCCCTGTTTAGGGAGGAAAATGGTGAGCACTTCTGCCAACTCCTTTAGTACATTTGGAACAATCTGGCCCCACAGACTTGTGAATGTTCAAATGTTATGATAGGACATTTGTCATTGGATTGCAGGAGCTTCATCTAACTTCCTGTCACTGTCTTCCAAATCAGGGGGCTGGGTTGCCTAAGAACAATAAAGTCTGAGAAAACAAAACAAATGAGCTAAATTCTTTTCCTCGTCTCTCAACAGTGTGTTTCTTCTGAAAAATAAATAATCCTTTAGCTGTTAATGTATTTTAAAATTATTTGTTATATTTTACTGTACTAATGAGCTTTAGTTTGCCTTTGGCCCTCTGATTTTTTTTCCCTGCACAATTTCACAATGGCTTTATCATCCATTAGAGTTGCCTACCCCTTCTTCCAGAGTTCATAAACACTTTTTTCTCCTGAGCTCTTGAAGTAGCTCTCTGTTCAGGTAGGCTGGTCTTCCTCCCCCTTCCCCCAGCCAGATTGACTCATGGTACATTGGGACAGCCTTTTACTGTGCCTTTAAGATATCACTCCTGAAGAATACCAGTCTTCCTGGACTCCTTTACCTTTCAGATCTGCCTCCCAAGAGACTCTAACCAGACAAAGTCTCTAAATAGGCTCAAGTCTGCCCTTTGGAAACTCAAGGAAGCAGTTCTTCTAATTCCCTTCCTTACTTCACCAAAGTTTGAAAGTCCTGTGATCACTACAACTGAAATGGCCTCTACTCATAAATGCTTCCTTGACTGCAAACAACAGATCAATTGAGCCTTGATCTGACCCACTACCTGTGTCAGGAAAAGACCCTCCACACATTCTGGGAATCTTTTAGACTATTTCCTCTCTGCTGAATTGTATTTCCAGCAGACATTTGGGAAGTTGAAATCCCCCATGTGTATAACGGCTCCTATTTATATATTTGGCTACTTTCTTACAGAACATTTTATCTGCCTCTGCATCCCATTTGGGTAGTCTATAACAGATTCCCACTATAGTATCTGAGTTATTGGCTTTTCCCCTGAACCTTACCTGGATACATTCAACCAACACCTATCTTCCTACAGTCATAGCATTCTGTAACATATACAGCTATCCCACCTCTACTCCTTCCTTGTCTATTTCTCCTGAAAATACTATAACCAAGCACCACTCCAAACCATTCCTCCACAATATATTGAGACCAAAGATATCCTACTACTGAGACTTAACTGAACCTTCGAGTTCAACATGTTGATTTCCCATGCTGCAAGCATTTATTTTGAGGTAATTACAATGAGTCCCCAATGAAACTGTTTTATTCAGTGAAGTATCTGGAATTCCTTCATGCTGCTGCTCAGGTTCTCTGCTGAAGATCTGTTCATTTTCATCTTTTGCTGATTCTGGCATCAAACCAATAAAAATTTGAGTGGAATGTAGTTCCTCTCTGTCATAGTTTTATGATTTCTGGTTATCAGTATTCCACATCATAACATCATGTAATGCACTGGGGGTTTGACTGTTGATGCTCAAGTTCCAGGTGCCTGTCCAGAGGAGAACAACTACATTCTCCAGGGGGCTTTGCGGTCAGCAAGGAGATATAACTCCTGGCAAGGACACCTGACGTTCTCTTCTTCACCTGCGCTCCTCCATCTGCTTTTCTTCATTGGCTCAACTGGACTCCACTTCTCACCTCAGCATTGTGGTGAGGCCTATCCACCTTTCGGATACACTCTCTCTCTCTCTCATTATATTCTGCTGATACAATATTTAGTAAATTAGTTTGTTTCACCTCAGATCGTTGCCGCTGTTTTCAATTGTTTTGGGGTCCCCTGTTTCCTTTTTCTGGAGGCACGGATCCGTGGATCCCTCCACCCCACTAGTCACAGAACCAGGCCAAACCAGCCCATAAACCGTTGACACCCTCCCTTAGCAACTCTAGTTCTTTTCCACTATCTGTAGCCAAAGACATTTTCACCCTTCTTCATCAGATGGACTCTATCCAGCCACCAATAGATCACATTTTTTAAGGAGAGTCACACATCTAAAAATACAGACCAGTGATTATGACTCTAGTCCCACAGCGATGCATTGATCTGCTGGATAGAACTAGTCCTTTAAAAGACCTTTTTTTTTGAATAGAAGGATTGAAGAAAAGATCTGTGCTCCAGAGCTTCTTAGAGCTGCTCTAAGGCCTCTGTAGACCTTCATGACGTGCCTTGAACTGTTCTTAACAACAGTTGTTGATGCCCATGTGAAATAACAGCAGTGGGTAGCAGACTGTAGGTTGTACAAGGTCAGCAATAGACACCTCCATTCCTTACAGAACAATCATATGTTATTATCACTCATTGCCCTTTCTTGGTTGGACTGGTTGTTAAATTGGGAACAGATTTAATTGGCAACGCTACCATCTCCCCTGACGTGATTGGTCCTTCCTCCACAGTCTCCAGAATAGTGAAGCAGTTCTGCAAGGACACATCTGGCAGTGGGAGGCATCTCTTCCTCCTGCTGCTCTTAGCTATAGTTTTGGTCTCTGAGTTCAGTGCAAATTGTCTATGAATCTGCATAAATCCATCTCAGCTTCCCTTATGTTGTGCAGTATATTCATTATCTCCTCAGGTCAGCCACCTGTTGCAAGCAGGTGTGCTGCCTGTCCCTGCTGCAAGAGAAAGATCTAGGCACTTTCAGCTGCCTGAGGTCTGCACTGTAGCCTCCCCCTTCAGTATCTGTGTGTGAGTGGAAGCATTAGACAACGATGCATATGGCACTCCAGTTGGAGCTGCAGCCCTTGGTTTCACATAAGTGTCTAACCCACCAGTTTTGTGTGTTTATTGCCCTCTTTTTAAATATATATTTGTAAAGATTTTAAAAAGTCTTTTTTAATATACTTATTGTGTACGTATTATATGTTTATATGCAACTTAAGAAAACTCCTCTTCAGTCAATACTGCTCAGACAAGCCAAAAGGTTGCATGCCCATGGAAGTAAGATGGGTGGCCTTCTCCAGTAAAAATAGTCTCACATTTTGCTGCTATTCCTGGTCACTACTAAAAATTGAAGGTCTTTTCTCATTCCCAGTAGAACAAAGATTCATAGCGGCTTTCTCACTGGAAATGACTGATTTTCATAGGCTGAACAGGAGAGAAGTAGGCAGCCAGTGGAGCTTTGAGACATACAAATAGTACTATTACATGGACTTGAGTATTACAGTAAGCTACTACTGTAGTTCACCTGTTCAGACTTCTATGACACATCTCTCCATGACAGAAGTTTTTTTTTCCTCTGATGTCATGGTTTTATAATTTTGTTACTGGTGTTCCATATAATAAGCACTGGGATTTAAAGAGTTAATGCTTCAATTCCACGGATTATGGGTAGTTCTGGGTACCTTGTTCTGAGAAGAGAAGAACTACATACCCCAGGGGACTTTGCATTTTCCATTTTCTGTTCAGAAGGAAAGATAAAAATTGTTCGCAGGTCACAGGATGCTTGCTTTCCCCTTTCTGCTCATCCTGGCTGGATGTGATGCCTTCAGCACTGGAGTAAGGCCTTTTTTTTTTTTTTTTGGACACTCTCTCATTTTGATTTATTAGTTTCAATTTCAATTATATTGTATTATTTTGTGTTAGCTTGCATTCTGATATTTTTTTTTTCCATAAATTAGCTTTCCTCCTTAGATCATTGTTGCTGTTTTGTTTTTAGGCCCATTTCCCTACTCTTTCCTGGGATATGGGTTCCCCACCACATTAGTTGTGGAATCAGGCTGAGTCAGCCCGTGAACTGTTGACATTTTTGGTGGAGAATGCGAGCATAGCCTGCTTTGGCTGGGAGAAGATATGCTTTTAGAACAAATCTATCTGCTGTCAGAGAGCTTTGTTTGAAAGCTTATCTGTACTGTTGGTG